TGCGCCAGGGCCACGGCCGCACGTGCCTCCTTGGCCTCGGCGGCCTCGAGGCTCTGCCTCAGTCGCAGCACGTTGTCGACGCACTGCGAGTGGTGGTGCTCCGCGTTCTTCCAGGCCCCCTCGGACTTGCGAAGCACCTCTGCTGGCGACACTGCAGCCTCTGAGTCGGCCTTGGCCTGGATGCTGATCTTCTCGATCTGCTGCTTGAGTGCGGCCTGCAACGCCGCATCCTTCGTGGCCTGGGCAGCCTGCTCCAGCAGGTTGGTGACGGTGGAGCTGGTGTTGCCCTTGGCCCCGTACCCCTTGCCGCTGCGCCGTCCGCCTCGCGGGGAGTGGCTGCGTGCGCGCCCGCCCTTGGCGTGGTCAGGCGCTGCGGCGGGGGCAGCCTCAGCCTGCTCTTCCTCCTCCCAGTGAACCTTGCGGCCCGCTGGCTTGTACAAAAGAATACGTGTGCCGCAGGCCGAACAACTGCCTCCCTGCTTCATTATGATGGAGTTCCACTCACACCTGCGGCACTGGTCGCAGCGAGACCACAGCTGGACCATTGCTAGAACGAAACCTCGGTGTTGGTCGCAGACCTCGGGCTGTGGCTTGGCCCTTGGTCTGAGTCCCTCAAGCGCTACGAGGAAGCCCCGAGGATTGGGCGCGTGGGTCGGGGGCTGTCGGGGCCTCCTCAAACCTGCCTGCGCCCAAATTGCTTGAGGGACGAGGAGGAGGGGGAGGAGGAGGGGGAGGAGGCCTGCGTGCTCCGCGCGGCCCGCGGCGCCGGGCCGCCCGGCGCCGCCGCGGCCTGCCGCCCGCGGCCGCCGCGCGGGCCCGGCGGCGGGGGCGGCCGGGCCGCGGGCGAGGCCCCCCGCGCGGCGGGCCCAGGGCCGCCAGAGCGCGGAAGGAGGAAGAGCGGCACACCCTCCTCCTCCTCCTCCTCCTCCTCCTCCTCCTCCTCCTCCTCATCTGTCTCCTCCTCCTCCTCCTCCTCCTCCCCTCCTCTCCTCATCTGTCTCCTCCTCCTCCTCCTCCTCCTCTCCTCCTCCTCATCATCATCATCATCATCTGTCTCCTCCTCCTCCTCGTCCTCCTCCTCCTCCTCCTCCTCCTCCTCTCCTCCTCCTCCTCCTCCTCCTCCTCCCCCATCTCCGCCCCCTCCTCCTCCTCCTCCTCCTCCTCCTCCTCCTCCTCCTCCTCCTCCTCCTCATCTGTCTCCTCCTCCTCCTCCTCCTCCTCCTCCTCCTCCTCCTCCTCCCCTCCTCCTCCCCCTCCTCCTCCTCCTCCTCCTCCTCCTCCTCCTCCTCCTCCTCATCCTCCTCATCCTCCTCCTCCCCCATCTCCGCCCCCTCCTCGCTACCTTCTCGCTCCCTCCCTTCTCGCCGCCCCGCCCTCCGCCCTCCGCCCCCTCTGCCCCGTGGCGGAGCGCGCCAGACACAAATAACAGGATTCCCCAGATCTTCCAATATTTTTCCCCGGTTTTGGTCTTTCCCCCCACTTCCCATATATTGTCCTAGATGTTCAAGGGAATCGACCGTTCATTGCGTCTGTGTTTTTCCCCCTTCCTGATCTGACGGAAGCAGGACAACTCGGAGGTCCACACGGACTTCTCGGATCGGCGATCGACCCCCCCCCTGCCTGGCGCGCGGAGCGCGCCGCCAGGGGGCCCCAGCGACGATCTGCGAGATCCGCGCGAACCTCGGAGTTCTTATGGTTGTGCCAACCCTCGTTCCCCGATCCACAGCCACAGACACCCTCATAGAGGGGGCAGTCGTCCCGATATCGACACTGACCCCGACCCTATTGCAGTTAGGGTGGATACCTTTGCCCAATCCCGTCCACACTTCGCTTCGGACAGGCGGCCTGCCCACACCCTGCTTCGCAGGCCGCCCCATGTGACTCTGGTCGTGCACGCGGCACAGACCTGGCACACACACACACAAGCGAAACTCTTGTCACTGGAACCTACTGAAGCCGACGAGACCCAACGAGAAGGTCCGCACACCTCCAGCCCTCGAAGCCATCGGGGCCACGACTCGGCTCTCTGGCGGCCGCGCGGGACGATCCGGGCACCCCGGGGACGCTCCAGGCGAGGCGCAGCGAGCTGGAAGACATCCCGCAGGCGGCAGGCCGGCGGGAACCAATGACAACGTCCGAACAAGTCCCACCGAGGAGGAGGAGGAGGAGGAGAAGAGGAGGAGGAGGAGAAGGAGAAGAAGGAGGAGAAGGAGGAGAAGGAGGAGGAGGAGGATTCTCCCGGGGGTTACCCTGAGAGGCACAGGGGTGTAAGTACCGAAAGCTGCGCTTGCACTTGGTGTCTCCTGTGGCCCGTGCTGCTTCTGCTGCTGCAATACCCCTACCCATGCTGGCACTGCTGACACTGCTGGCCACGGGGATGGACGCAGCTATACCCCCTCCCACGCTGGAACTGCTGACGCTGCTAGCGACAGGGGGCGACACAGCCGAGATCGCCCTCTGGGTGTCTCTCTCTCTCTCTCTCTATATATATATATATCTCTCCTTCTCATGCAACATCTCACGTATTCTGGCGAGAATATCTGCAGGGTAGGGCCACAAGCCTTTACTGAGACGTCTGAGGTTCTGCTCTCCGTTGGCCGCGTTATCCTTACAGGGCTCTTCGAGGGAGGCAGCAAGCAGGCTACAGCATCACCCGCAGGAGGAGCAACAAACACAAGGCAGAGGCATCCACATACAGGAGGGTGTGCGATCGGTGGAGTTCCTGCCCCCCGACACTCGGACACGACCCCAACGTGGACGACCTTCCCGCCGCCGACACCCCCCTCTCTGGACGCACACCGTTCCTACACTTCTGAATTGTAAAATGGTCGAAACATCGTCCCCAGACGACTTGCGCACTATTTTTGGATATTCCTCCTGTAGAGAGACAGGCCAGACTTAACCCTACCCCACCAACATCGATTCTCCAGAATCGGTGAAGGCGGGGGTCGGGTTTGGATCTCGCCACGGGTTCGGCAAACTCCAGACCCAACCCCCGCCGCCCATCGAGTTGCTTGAATCGTGTAACGGCGAGGGTAGGGCTCGGATTTTGCCGCCGCGCAAGGACGCACCACCCTTGGTAGTTCCATCTGCCATTGGGAGCTCCTTGGACAGCAACGTTGCCCTTCGGTGGGCAGACGAAACAGAGACGCAAGGGTAGCCCTGATGACAGCGCATCCTCACTGTACGGAAAAGAAAAACGGCAGAGGGATGGGCCCCTCGGTGGGGCCGAAGCCAGCTGCATGCAGCAAATTTCGTAACCCCCCTTTTCCAATCCCCCCCTTTCGTCCGGCCCGAAACATGTTCATGCCATTTGTGTCTTCTTCGACTTCTGCCCGTAAGTATAGAGTTAAGTCGGGCGTGTCCCCCTACAGGGGGATTTTCGACGCAAAATATAAAATACCCCCAAAAAACACTCCAGAAGAATGATCAAAAAATACTAAAACAATAGTCCCCAGACTACTTTTCTACTAGTTTGGAAGATCCCTCCTGTAGAGGGACAGGCCCGACTTAAGCATAGAGCTCTGGAGGCCCGTGCGGGCTTCCTTGCATGGGGGTGCTGGGCCCTTCTCCACTGCAGCGCCCTCCCGGCGCCCGCAGAACGCGCCGAGGGGGGCGCGGCGCGCCGCTCTCCGAGAGCTCCGCACGGAGCTCCACGAGCTTGTGCGGACCACGCCGCGTTGCTCCCACCGTACTTCAGGACCACACCCCAGAAGGAATTTCGAGCGTCCGAAGAAGTGTCGAAAGAGTGTCGAAACGGTGTCGGACGAGTGTCTCCCAGGGCCCGACACGTGAAAACCCTCGAGCTTCGGTACTTGTTTCTGGTGCTCGAAATTCCTTCTGGTGACCAGGGTTAGGGTAGGCTGGAACATCCTAAGTCTAGCAGGCCCCCTAGGTGGGGTCGGAGTGGAGGCGGTCGGGGGACGGCGCCTCATCGCCGACGCATCGCCGACGCATCGGCGATGCACCGCCGATGTATCGCCGATGTGGCGATGCACCGGCGACGCACCGGCGACGTCGGCGATGCATCGGCGACGTCGGTGTGAAGCAAAGCGGGCTGCACACCGCGCCGCATCGGCGATGCATCAGCAGTGCGGCGTGACCCTCCGATCCCATCTGCTCCGACCCCATCTAGACGAGCGGGTTCCACTGCTCGCAGAGTAGCTGCTCGCAACTGGCCTGGATACGCCGCGGCGGATCTACGATAAAACTGCATCGAAGCCGACATCTGTTTTTCGGACGTTTGCGAGTAGGCACTTTGCGAGTAGTGGAACGCGCTCGGTGACCATCTGGGAGGCCTGGACCCATGGGGCCTCGCAGACGAGCGACTGTGAAGGGGCCCTGGGGCACACACAAAATAAATAGACACAGATAGCAGGATTCCCCATATTTTCTCCTATATTTTCTGGGGTCTTGTCTTCCCCACCACTTCCCATGTTTTCCCATATTTCTCGGGAATCGACGATGACTTGTGTCTGTGTGTGTTCTTCCCCTCCTGAGACTGTTCGGCCCGCGGCCGCAAGGGACTCGGACGGCGCTCGAGCGGCGGCGGGGCGCGCCGGGGCACAGCCCCCAGGGCAGGAGCGGATCGGGCGCGGAGGGGCGCGGGGCGGCCCGCTGGGCCCCGGGGGCGAGGGAGCCACCTGGCATCGCTCGGACGTCCATTTCCTGTCTTTTTCGGTTTCGTGCGTGGTTTTTCCACCATTTGATCAAGGATGCTCCTCGATGGCCCTCGCCGAAGGAAAAATGCACACGTCCGAGCGATGCCAGGAGCCATCTCAAAGTCTCCGAGGGCTGCGGGAGGGCGCAGAAAAAGCGGGAGCCACGCTCGGGTCGGGCGAAAGGGGGGATAGCAAAGGGGGGGGTGAGAATCAGCTCACGTAGCTGATTTTCCCGGCGCCTCCCCGCGCCGGAGGCGGCCATGCATCGAGGGATGGGCCCCTCGGTGAGGCCGAAACCAGCTGCATGCAGCAAATTTCGTAATCCCCCCTTTCCCAATCCCCCCCTTTCGCCCGGCCCGACACGTGCGAGCCATCTGAAGTCTCCGAGGGCATCTGAAGTCTCCGAGGGCCTGCGGGAGGACACAGAAAAAGCCACAGGACAACGTGTGGTGCATCACTGTCGGGCAACTCCTCTGGGCGACAGGTGCTTTCAAACATATGAACTGCGCTTGGGCCGCCATCTGCCACCAAGAAGTGGACTACCTTGAGAAGACATGATGTAGTGGACACGTTCCTGGCCCCGCAGTTCACACGTCTGCGCCGTTGTTTCTCCTTCGGGAGAGGCATCGACCCCGTCCAGCGCCATTGTAAGGGCGCGCTGCAGCCGCGCCAGGCGCAGCTGCGGCGACTCTGGCACCGCCTGCGCCGCGCAGGGGCCGGGCAGTGCGGCAAGGGCGCCTTCGGGCTGGAAGCCCGCGTCGCACCAGCGCGGAGGCGGGGCGCCGTGCCCAGCGGCGTCACCGGCGGCTGCTGGGATGCGATGCTGCACGGCGGTCTCAAGATGGGGCCCGGAGGAGTGGCCCTGGTAGTCAAGCCAAGTACGGTCGAGGGGCCTGTGGAGGCACCTCGCTCAGCAATAGGAGCCAGAAGGCGTGAGCGGTTCTGGCAAGAAGACACGCATGCAAGAGAATGGTGGTGGGGGACTGAACATCGTTAAAGTTCACATAAGAATGCACATCAGGCGCTCTTGGTGAGGACTGTAATAGAGGCCTCCCAACTGAGGTGGAAGTACACGAGTTCGGGATGATCGCGCCGCATCGCCGATTCGCGATAAATCGGCGCCATCGGCGTGGAGAAGATCAGGATCCACATCGAGCCGCATCGCCGATGCATCGGCGATGTGGCGCGACCCTAGGACCCCATCTAGTTACTCGGACCCCTTTCGGGGAGGCCTGGACCTGAGGACGGATGGGCCTCGAGCAGTGCAAGCTCAGCCCGGAGTCCCTTCCTACCTCTGGGGGAACCAAAAGGTACTGATACCGCTCCTCCCCAGACCTCTCCTGGGGTGCGTTCTGACCAAGATTTCGAGGCGAATCCAGCGGTGGCGACGAGGGCCGCAAAAGGGCAACACGAGGGGAGGGTAGAGGTATGGGTACATTTTCCTCCTCTGATCCTACCTCGGGGCCCAACCCATCGGGGCGCCATCTTTGATCCGCCGACTGCGGCGGGGCCCCGTGCGGGCCCTCCAGCCAGCCGACCAGGGCGCTGAGGGCGCCGTAGAGGTCCTCGGGCCCGCCTGCCGCGCAGACGCCGCCGCTGGCCTGCATCGCCTCCGTCCGCCCGCCTCGGGGCCCGCGAACGCTGCGGAGCCTCGGGCCGAGAGGGCTAACTGCATTAACTGCAGTCGGGGTGGACTGGAGAGGACACGCGAGGAGGACACAAGACTCTTGCGATGGCCACACTGCCAGTGGAACGTAGAAGGCATGGGTCGCGAAACACAGGACACAAGGGTACCCTTGTTTGGGCAAGGTCGACCGACTTATCAAGCTCGACTGTACGGGCTGCGCGCAGGCGCGCTGGTCGTCGAATTGCGAAGACCGTCGAAAGTGTGAAAAATACGCAGGGGGAGTGGCCAAGGTTTGAACGCCTGGTCTGAGGAAGTCGGACTGGATCTTGCACGCTGTCAGAGGTTCGGGCAATGTTTCGAAACCAACGCAAGACACTCGAACAACAATAAAAAAAAGACGGGCCAGCCCAGGCTGCTTCCCCAGCTTGTGGGCATACCCGTGCACGCATCAATCCATGAGTGCACAGCACCCGCGCAGCACAAAGAGCCCGTTAGCTTCTTCGCTAGAAGACATAATATGTGAACCACGCTCTGATGCTTCGAGCAGTTTCCCCGCAACGACTGGCTCAGACCAACGCAGCGTCTCAGTAACTGACGGACGCAACTCAACTTCCAGAATGGCCACTACGGGGGGGTACCCGTGCAAACGCGAAGGCCACGGTAGTATGATGTACGCTCGGATGTCCTGATGCAGAAGACCTCGGGACTGCCAACAAAAATGGCACGGCTAGGGGCCAGAAACGTGTGCTAGGGAAAGAGTTGAGAGCCCTGGAGATCCATGGATCGAGGGATGGACAACATTGGAGGCGAGGAGGTGACATGCGCTTGCACCGTGCGGAATCTACTACGCCGTTGCACAGAACCGTAACGTTTCGGTGAAGGCGTCAAGATGATACGGGTTTCGTCCATTTTTGTCCGCGTGAGCGTGGGGGCAGAGGCTGACCCCTGTTCCGACCGCGCCGAGCTTGGCCCCCATCCCCCCCTCGAATCCTGGCAAGCTGAGTCAAGAGCAATCGGATCAAAGATCTGGGATTTCTCAATTTGGGCCCTCATCTCAATATCTAATGCTATAGGCTCACAAACTGGATCGTCTAAAGTCCCAGCGAAGATTATCACAATTCTAGCAATGTTTGTTGTGCCAGGGCAGAACACCTGGGCGACACAACCCGAAGGGAAGTACCCAAGGTGCCTGCATGAAGTTGCATGCAGTCGGACCTCGCAACATGAACGACGGCACAGACCCGCCCCAGGCGTCACATCTGCGCCGCCGTTGCGAGGTGCCTCGAGATGCCACCCCGAGACACGGTCACCGTAGAATGCCCCGGGACGGGATGCTGCCACTGCCGATGCACGACGGACGACTGCATCACACTCCACACGGCTCCGGCGCCCGCCCCGGGCTCCGGCGTGGCCCTCGCTTGTGGGAGGCCCCGTCGGCGTCCGCCGAGCGCCTGCCCCACGACGGCGCCAGGACGAGGACAACATCGTCGGGGGCGCGCAGACATGGATTAGCGATCCATGGATTTGGCGCGCGGTCGCCAATTCCATGGATCGGGAGAGGTGCCCTCCCCAAAGTGCGGCTGGTGGCGCCTCGCTCGGCGGCGGCCATCAGCGACTTCCTGTGGACACGGGACCCGTCGCTAATCCACGCCCCCTTAATCCATGTCTGCGATCGCCCGAACATCGGGTGAAGATAAATCAAACATCTCTGAGATCCGGCGAATGTCGCCCTCGACGCTCAATCTTCATACATTCCCGCCAGCAGCAAACAAAGCCTGCTGCCACATTCCGCCTAGGCGTCGGACGGCGTTTGGCTCCTCTGTCTGTCTGCCTGAGATCCGGCGGCTCTGGATGACGTCACGGGCGCCGCGGCCTTCTCAAAACGTCATGGAACGCTCGGAGAGCGCTCCGGCACGCCCTGGGAGCGATTTGTCCTCGCCCTAGCCCCGTCAGATCCTGCCCGCTTTTCTGGCCACACCGCCCTCGACTTACTTCCGCAGGCGTTCGCGAGAGCCTTCGGCCGGCCTCCGCCGAAAGGGCAAGAGGACTCCGCTTCTCGAGGCACCTCGAAGACGAAACCATGACCGGGCTCGTGCTTCGGGGGGAGAGCCCCCTGGGCATAGAAGGCCCTCGAAGAGCGTACAGGGCAGTGTTTTTAATACATAGGATGTTTGACCAGATAAGATTTTTAATACATGATTAATGTATGAATAAATTGATGCATGAACCCATCGTTGTTTGTAATACTGAACCCTGCCTTTTTTTATACATGATCCGCGCGCGGAACATATATAAAGAAACGGAACTGTAACGCTTCACCGGTTTGCATCTTGAGCGTTGTTGAGAAAGGGGTCGGAGGGACGAGGAGGCAGGAGGCGGGGGAGCAGAGAATGCAAAGCAGCAAAGTTCCACGGGGATTCCAGGAGGGTGGCGGCCTGCCGGGGGGGCCCTGTAAGGAGAACTGAGGCCGAACCTTCCCTCCTCGTCCTCAACCTCGGGCTCCCCCTGTCTCTCCTCGTCCTCCTCCTCGTCCTCCTCCTCCTCCTCCTCCTCCTCCTCCTCCTTCCCCGGCTCCGCCCTTCCCCGTCCCGTCCCCGCAACTCCTGTGCGCGGGCTCCCGCGGAGAGGGAGGACGGGACGAGGGCAAGCGGGGAGGATGAGGAGGAGGAGGAGGAGGAGGAGGAGGAGGAGGAGGAGGAGCAGGAGCAGAAGGAGGAGGAGAAGGAGGAGGAGGAGGAGGAGGAGGAGCAAGACGGGCAGCGGCACGCACGGCAGCCCAGCCATCTCTCAAGGAGCGAGGGCCTCTGCTCGGGGTCGGGCAGCGAGGTCGATGAGGGAAGCCCCGGAAGGGGCCCCTCGGGGTTATTATACACTCGGACGCAGGGGAACACCGGAGTGGGCGGCCTGCGAACTCTCCGATGGGGGAAGGCGCGGGGGAGCAGTGCACCTGACGTGGGCCAGCTTGGGCTGCAGGGATACCCTGGGCCGCCTCGTCGAAGTGCCAGGGGCTGGCTTCGGACTCCCAAGGGGGCGCTCCGGGGGCCTGCGGCGGGTCCTGAGAGGCCTGCCGCGGGGGGGGGGTCCTTGAGGCCCCTTGCGCCGTCTTGGCGCTCGCTACTACGCTGTCCTGGGGCTCCCTGGGGCAATTACAGCGCCTCTCTTGGTTTATTTCTTCTGGTCCTTCCTGGGCGCTGTGGGCCGTCTTCGGGATCTCTTCGTGCGTTGTTTGGGGCCGTCTTGGGGCTCTCCGAGGCCCGTTGAGCGCAGCATGAAGGAGAGCAACTTGAGAATACCGAAAACAATGACCGCCACACTGTTTCGATAGAGTTGGGATGTATGGTGCTGTTCTTGGTGCAGCCAAGTAAAAACCCTGTCAAGCCACAGAGGTTGGCCAGTAGACGGGCAGGGGCTACAGCGCACGGGGATAAGCAGGCGCGCGCACATGGGAGAGCAAAGCCTGTGCCTCCGATAGGGGGGGGTACGCATGAGGCAGCTACTGGGAGTATTTCGTCGGAAAGATAAACGGATTAAGCCCCATTTGGGAGCTCTTACGCCGGAGTGGGCCTCGGATTGAGCGGGATCAAGCCAGATTAAACGGGAGAAAGCCCGATTAAACGGGATTAAGCGGGATTAAGCCGGATTTCGGACCAGGGCAAGATCAGAATTTGACCTCCCAGGAGTTGCATCCGAAGAGGGGTACGCATGAGGCGAGGGCGGGGAAGCCATCACGCCTGAATACAGTATGCGACCGATGCACGTTCATCATGTCACTGTGCAACCTGAAGCCAACGAGATATTGACGGCTAGCCATCACGGACATCACGGCCTCTGAGAGCCTCTCTCGAAGCATCCTGTGGTCCCCTGAGACCGTCCTGAAAACATACGATGGGATTGCCGAATGTGTGCTGGGCCTCCTTGGAGGCGCCAACGACGCCACCCCTGGCGCGCCCCGCGCGCCAGGGAAGGGGGTCCAGCGCCGATCAGAGAAATCCGCGCGGACCTCCGAGAACTCATGCGTATGCCGTTGTTGTTTCTCCAGACCTATGAGGGGCAATACATGGGGGGGACTGGCATAGGGGGCGAACCGATCAGACGCCCCAGCCCTGATGACCACCCTGGCGCGCGGGGCGCGCCAGGGGCAGCGCCAGAGGCGCCTTCAGGGGGGGGCCATCGCGGATCCCAGAAGTCCGCGCGGA